CATAGAATCTTGGCATACCATCCTCCGTATCATAGCAAGCCCAGATTTGGTCAATTGCAAAGCAATTTTCTGCTTTGTGCTTGTCAAAATCACTGAATTCAGGATCAGGATAATCATACACCTGTGCAGGATTACTATCAGAAATGGCATCTGGTTCGGAATCAGAATCAACGAGAAGTTCAATATTTTTGGTACCCCCTGATGGCGGTCTGGAAGCCTGTCCATTAACAGTCCCAATTTTAAAATTGTTGGTTTGCACATCCCTTTCAGGACAGCCCAATCCATTTTGATTTAATCTTTCCACAGAATTACTGCATGGCCTAGTTGCACATGCATGTCTTTGATTATCACCACCAACATCTTCTTTCTGCTGAGGTTTACTATCTCCAGCTGACTGGTTAGACCGCACCTTCTTCAGATGGCTTGCCAAATCATTCTCATCATCACTTACACCTTCATTGTATGAAACATTCTGCCGACGCCGAGATGATCTCCTAGCGCCATAGGCATCAAGTCCAGTTCCTTGTCCAGCAGGTGGATTGTTTCCATTTTCAATCTCCACATCTTCTGTCTCGACACTGGTTGAAGTATCAGAGCTTTCACTCGATTCAACTGTCTGCTTCCGACCCCTTTTCCTACTTTTGCGATCCACCTTTGGCATTGCAGCTCCTCCTCTCATACCACCTGTTCGCTTTCCATCCTTCCGTTTGGTTCTCATATCCTCAAACACTGGAGCAGTCTTTCCTCTGCATATCTCTGGACCCTGTTGGGGTCCAGTTCGTGTAGGTGGAAACCCAGCACTTCCTGCAGTCATTTTCGAGGTTCCTTGGTTAGGAAGTTCTTTCTGCACAAAAGACTGGTTGAGATTAGATTTAAGGGGCACATCCTGAAATGCAGGCTGACTCCATTTGGGTCCAGGAGGGACACCTTGAGAACCTATATCAAATGCTATAAAAGGCTTCGAGCATTTCTGGCAGCGCAGAGCACTGTTCACATAATTACTATAATACTGGTATCTAACTTTGCAAGAGGGGCACTCTGTCCAGAACGTTTCCTGCACTGTAGATGAAGCTGGTTGTGTAGATTGACGGTTATTTAGAGTATTGAACGGAGCATTGAAACCATTGTTAATATTGTTTTGCCTGACAAATGGATATCGATTAACCTGATGAGGTGGTTGCTTTGCTACGAAAGATTTGGATAGAACTTTACACTTATTATCGTATGAAGACCTTTTAACTGGGTCAGAGAGAACCATATTTGCTTCCACAATTAGCTTGAAAGCTGCCTCTGCACCAGGCAACTTATTCTTGTCAGGATGAAGCACGAGTGCAAGTCTCCGATATTGTTTTTTGATGGTCGATTCATCAGAGAACTTATCAATTTGAAGAATCCCATACCAGTCCCTTTCTGATCCCACTACTTTGTTTTGAGATGAACAGTGAACATTACAGACAGCAAGTAACTGGGAAATGTTCTCCAGTTGAGGGTAAAGTCGTTCGGCTTTCACCGCAACCTTTTTAGCCCCTTCAAAGTCATTATTCAGCAATTTCTTCTCCGCAAGCTCTTTGGCCTTTAGGGCCTCGTCCTTGTTGCAGTCCATCGCAGGTTGAACTTAATAAATTAACTGGTCAAGTGATAAGCATAAGTTTCTAACTTGTCTTCTTCATCTCAACTCTATAATCATACAAGAAAAAAGGAAAGTAACATCAATATCGCCCAAAACAAAAGTGTGCATACATATAAACAGAAGTCAAAGTGGATATTAACAAAATAACATATACTTTCACAAAGCAAAACAAGAGTACTAAATGGTAAAAAGGAAATGCTGCATTTCTCAAGATAGACATAGAAAACCACATTTTTACTATTAATTAAGTCGCATAGCAACAGCTCTAGATAAGGAACTTTACCTTCAGTTATAACTTATGTGCTTTTGGAGCAGCTATGAGCGAGATTAGTGGCAGATCAAAACCACAGAAAGACCAGATGCTTAAATAAAGGTACCAAAATCTGCAACAAAGAATAGCTAATTTCAACTAATCTACGGTAAACGATTAAGTAAAATAAAAATAAACAAAACACATAGATGTCGCATTTGGGAGCTTTTAACTCAAATGGTCTATTAAAGTTTGGAGGTAGGTATATTTCCAGAATCCTGCCTTCTGAGCATATTTCTTAAATACAACAACAACAACAAACCCAGTATAATCCCACATGTGGGGTCAGCGTATTTCTTAAATGTGACGGAATAATCAAACGCAAAATATAGGGTATCAGATAGTGAAAGTAACACAAGCAGCTCAAATTTTACCAAAAAACGAACAAAGGGAAGCAATTAATAGAGACCCTTACGTAGTCAAAGTATTAGGAACTGACACAAATCCATAATTCAAACACCAAAAAACAGATCAAAAAACATCCGAAACCCTAAAAATTCAATTATGAGAATCGGAGTTCATACTCTATAATTGTGTGTGAGAGAGAGAGAGAGAGAAAACAGCACTCACTATCCAAATACTTCAAACTTCTAAGGCCCATGTGACCAAAAAGCCCGAATCACAGTAAAATAGGGAAACAGTACACACACAAGTATATCTACACATAAGAAATATGCTTACCCGTATGAGCGACGCGCCTGGGATGAAAAGTATGGAGAGAGAAAAACCCCAGTTGAGAATAATTTGACAGATATAGACACAGGAGAGACTGGGAGAGTTGGGGAGTCGCGGGAAAGAGAGTGAAAATTCAGGAAAAGGGGAATGACTTGTGAAATTTCATTGCCCCAAAAACGAATTAAAGAAGGTTCTTCTTAATTTCAATACAAAAATGTAGGGTGCTTCAATTTTGTCGGGTTGGGCCCATAAGATTTTAGGTTTTCAACTTGGCCCATTAAGAAATAATGGGCTTTAAAAAGGGAAAGTTGAACCCGAGATTTTTATTTTTGTATTACACTACAGGGTCACCCTCCAAGAGTGGGTTGCTCTAGTGGTGAATATCATCCACTTCCAACTAAGAGGTTGTGAGTTCGAGTCACCCAAGAGTAAGGTGGGGAGTTCTTGGAGGGAAAAAGCTGGGGGTCTATCGGAAACAGTCTCTCTATCACAGGGTAGGGGTAAGGTCTACGTACACATTACCCTACCCAGGTCTACGTACACATTACCCTACCCAAACCCCACTAGCAAGATTATATTGGGTTGTTGTTGTTGTGTTTCAAGAACGTGGACGATAAAAGGAAAACAGTGAGAATGAACGAAAAGGGCCAAATATACCTCTGTACTTTCGAAAAATGTTTAAATATACCCTTCATTATACTATGAGTCCAAATATAGCACTCCCGCTATACTTTGAGTTCAAATATACCCCTAATTTAAATGGAGTGACACGTGTCATCGTCCTATTGGCCAATTCTAAATATCTCCTAATTAATTAAAAAGACCCTTACCCAAACCCGTTTTTTTGTAAAAATAGAAAAAACTGAATTATTTTTACTAAAAATTGAAGGAAAAAAAAATTTCCAGTTTTTACAAAAAAATTGCTTTAAAAAAAACTGAAAAATATTTTCTAAAGCAATTTCTTTTTGTAAAAACTGAAATTATTTTTATTAAAAACTGAAAAAAAAATAAAAATATTTTTTTCAGCTTTTACAAAACTATTGCTTTAAAAAAACTAAAAATTATTTTTTTGTAAAAACTGGAAAAACAATTGTTGAATCTTTTTTTTCAGTTTTTACAAAAACATTACTTTAGAAAATTAATTTTTAGTTTTTTTTTTCAGCTTTTAAAAAAATAATGCTTTAGAAAATATTTTTCGGTTTTTTCAGTTTTTTTAAAGTAATATTTTTGTAAAAACTGGAAAAAAAATATTTTTCGTTTTTTTTCAGTTTTTAATTAAAAAAATCATTTTTTTCCAATTTTTGCAAAAAATATTCTTTAGAAAATTGCTTTTCGAGTATGGGTGATGGGTATGGTTATGGATATGGGTCTTTTTAATTAATTAAGAGATATTTAGAATTGGCCAATAGGACGATGACACTTGTTACTCCATTTAAATGAGGGTATATTTGAACCCAAAGTATAGCGGCAGGGGTATATTTGGACTCATAGTATAATAAAAGGCATATTTAAACACATTCCGAAAGTACAAGGGTATATTTGACTCTTTTCCTTTTATTGTGTGGAGACTCCCATTATGTCATTGAATTGTAAGATCGAGATCTTTTGATTTACTTTTTCACCCTAATGATTGGGAGTGTACAAAAAAAATAATAAATCGCACCAAACCGATAATCTGAGTCAAATCGGGAAAAAAATCAGATTGTGGTTTGGTTTGATTTGGTTTGGTATTGAAAAAAAAACGACCATAATTGGTTTGACTTGGTTTTAATAAATAAAGTCAACCCGAAACCAAATCAACCTCATAATACATTTATATAATTTTTTATTATATATATANTCGAGGGCAATTTAGTCATTTAAATAATCACTTTTATTATATCATACATATTAAAGGTAACAAACGGGTGGGTCGGGCCGGTCCGGGTCGAGAAAAAAGTGACCAGCCGGTCACCAATCCGGGCTGGGTTCCGGGTTCGACCAAACGGGCTTAATGGGTCCGGCCACATTCGGTCAAAAATGGAACCGGAACGATTCTGGGCCTACCGGGCCGGTTTTGTGTATAATTTTATATATATATATTTTGTATAACTAAAGTAAAAATATAAAATAAAAAAATTATCTTATAAAAAGAGTGTTTGAATAAAGGATGCAAAGATTTTAAAATTCTTATATTTGAATATTGATTAAGAATTTAAGATAATATAAATACAATGAAGATAGAAAATAATTGCACTTATAATTTGCAAGTTCTTTTTTTATTTCAAACTTGCAATCTAAAGTTTACATTACATTTAACAACAACTAAATTAACGAAAAAAGAGTAAATTCAAAGTTTAATTATTAAATATAAATCTAGAACTTCAAAGGTTTTGCATTGCCTTAGTAAGTTCTTCATAATCAATATGAACTTCTTGGCCATCTTTTGGAGTGTTAAATTCAGATGGGTGACCATGTGTATATCTCCAAGTTTCTCGTCTTCTGGTTTATCAACATCTTCACGTCCTTGATTTTTTCGTTCCGATCTAATCCAATCTCTGAAACATACTAAAACTTCTAAAGCATTACATCCCTATGAGTAACAGGTGTCTCTCAGTTGTTGTCTTGCTTGACTAAATGCACTCTCTGATGCCGCAGTTGAAATTGGCACATTCAGCACGTCCCGAGCCATAGCAGAAAGAACAGGGAATTGCTTTTCATTCTTATGCCACCATCCCAACGGTGAAAAATCCTTATTGCGAGACTCTGATTGCTTTTACAAGTAGAATTAAAGTTCATTAATGTTCCTACTACTGATTTGAGTGGAAGGAAACGTAGCTCAAATATTATAACCATCAAGACTTTCATCTTCATCCATATTAGCAGATGCAGTAGAAGTAGTATAATACATAGTGGGATTAACATTGCCTACATTAATAGCACCATCATCAATTATATTTGCATAAAAATTATATAATTATTGTAAATAATCATTTAGCTTGTTCATACAATTATATATATATATATATATATATAT